TTTGGAATCTCCCAATAAACCCTTATCTACACTCTATAAGGACTATACTATACTCTGTAGAACATTATATAGTCCTGCTGCTCTTCTGAGGTGGGATTGCACATCCTTCTGTGCAGGCCTCCGAGCTGTTGTCTATTTTTTTCCATAAAGGAAAATACACTAAGTCTCTTTTTTCCTTTTACAGTTCTCAGGACTGGAGTTTCAGTGTATTTTGTGACTCCATTTTCATTACACAAATAGATGGCTGAATTGCACTTCACTTCAAATTGTACATTCAGTCATGAAGATGTGCAAAAAAAAGTATTAAAGAATTATACTTTAACTGCTACTGCTATAATATTATTCTCTTTAAACTTCAAACTTTACGAATAACTTTAGATCAAAGTTACATAATGTTTATTTCCTATTGCAGGGAATGTCTATATAAGAAGTACACAGCTACAGGAAAAAATAGGTATCGCTAATTTTTCATTTTGCATACAGTTATTAAGTCCAGGAGTGGGGAGAGCCCCAAGTTCATGGAGACTCACTGAATGACTGAGCCAGTCAATCTCTGGAGTCCAGTCTATCTCACAGGGATATTGTGAGAGAAAATGAAAAGAGGGACGGCCACATATGCTGCTCTGAGCTCCCAAGGAAAGCTAGTACTATTTATATTATTTATTGGTCACCACGATGTAAAAAAGATGTTGAAACTCTAGAAAGAGTACAGAGAAGAGCAACAAAGATGATTAGGGGACTGGAGGCTAAAACATATAAGGAACGGTTGCTGGAATTGGGTATGTCTAGTTTAATGAAAAGAAGGACGAGGGGGGACATGATAGCAGTGTTCCAATATCTCAGGGGCTGCCACAAAGAAGAGGGAGTCAAACTATTCTCCAAGGTGCCTGAAGGCAGGAAAGGACAAAAACTAACCAAAGAGAGAAGCAACCTAGAACTAAGGAGAAACTTTCTGACAGTTAGAACAATTAACCAATGGAACAACCTGCCTCCAGAAGCAGTGAATGCTCCAACACTGGAAGTTTTTAAGAAGAGAATGGACAGCCATTTGTCTGAAATGGTATAGGGTTTCCTTACTGAACAGGGGCTTGGACTAGATGACTTCCAAAGTCCCTTCCAACTTTATTATATTATTATTATTAATAATAATAATAATTTAATAAATAAGCAAATGCATTTCTTAATAAAAGAAGGAAAATCGTTCAACATCCTGATAAACATCCTCAATTTCACATAAGATTGGTCTGAGAAATAATTCAAGATAACCTGCACTCCTAAATCTCACTTTGGGGGAGGGGCTCTTGTAGCTCCCCAAATTTGTGCTGCTGAAATATGGCTGTCCAAATGCCAACAATGAGTAGTGCAGTTTTCTTGCATTTTGACAGGTGAAAAACTGTAAGTTTAAAATAGGCTTCTTTGTAAGCAACTTCGATTCCTTCCCTTAAATATTGTCTTCTAGTGGGACTTAGCAAGTGTGCCTTTTGGGTGGTGGCGCTTACCCTGTGGAACATTTTCTTTCCTGATGATCCAAGAGGCTCCCATCATTTTAGCCTTCCAGAGGGCCATAAAGAGCAGGCTCTTCACACAAACAGTAGGACAGAGAGAGACTGGAGTCCACGGATGGTCTGTTGAGACATCCCAGAAGAACAATGGAGATGCCAGGTTTGGAGTTTTGGGGTTTTATTGCTGTTGGAAACTGCCCAGAATTCTGTTCTAAGATGGGCAGCCATACAAATCTTTAAAATAAAATAAATACTGAAATCCAACGGGGCATGAGTTTGGAAGTTGAGCACCCTCTAGTGCAACAGTGATGTTACTGCCAACCTCCACTTTCCCAAATGTAACGTTGCATCTTTAAATCAAAGAGTACAATTCAGTTTACAAAATCCAGGGGTTCCCAGTCAAATGAAAACGTGCAGAAAGAAGAGCAGTGTGTCTTCTGCTTTATGCCCACAGCAGTATCCAGTTCAAACTATATACTTTGAGGAGTACAGGGAAATTGGCAGGTACTGTAACACACACCTTAATGGAAGTACTGGGTGTTTTAAGCTTTTATGATCTTCTATGGGATTTGAATAAGGAGATTTTCCCATACTTCACAGGGAAAGACAGCAGGGGGGGGGGAGAGAGTTTACAGAAGGAGGGGGTCAACCTATTTTCCAAAGCACCCAAAGGCCAGACAAGGAATAACGGATGGAAATTGATCAAGGAGAGATGCAACCTGGAAATAAGGAGAAATTTCTTGACAATGAGAACAATCAACCAATGGAACAGACTGCCTTCAGATGTTGTTGGTGCTTCATTACTGGAAGCTTTCAAGAAGAGACTGAGACTTCTAGTTCCGGACTGCGGCGCTCACAGCTGTGCGAAAAGACTGCTCTCTTCGCCAGCTGATTCTCCGCTGCCGGTAGACCCTTAATCGGGTCAAAAAGCTGCCTTGGAGGGGCGGCTACCGGCTACCGGTGAGGAGGTCCTCGTTGGGAGAGCGGCAGCTTCTTCCAAGGACCGAGATTGCTCCTTTGGTCCGACGGTGGAAAGAACGGCCAGTAAAATGGCCATTCACCTTGCTGCTGTAACCAGAAGTCAGAAGAACATCTAAGCACAGGAATCACCGTGGCTAAGCCGGGTGAGACTTTTTTTCCTTTCCTCTCTTGGTTCTCCTTTTTCTTTTTTTGTGCCTGTAAAAAGCACTTTTGAAATCATTTCCCTGCTCTGAGAAGGCGGCATTGTTGAGTGTGGGAAAAAGAAGCTTATGGACTGAATTAATTTAAAGTGACTTTTTTTCTCTATTTTTATTTATTTTTTCTTCACCTTGGGGTCTTGGAAAACTTTTTAATATTGAATCTGCTATTGGACTTGAATTCTCCTTTTTTCTGTGTTTCCTGATCCTGTTTATGAGATTCCTGGTCTATGGGAGAAGACTTCACATTGTACTGAGGATACCTTGTGGAAAAAGTTAAAATTGCAACTTTCTCTTTTCTCTGATGATCAGACTGACCTTGATTTTCAGATTACCATAAAAGGAAAAATACAAAGAAAATTAACAGCTGTACTGGTGGGAATGGACATTGATATGTTTTCTGAACATAGCCTCTACTAAATGATACAGACTGTTTCTAATTATTTTTGAAATGGAGCAACCCTTAGTTCAACTGGACTATAAACTTATACTGGAAAAACTTTACGAAGCTGCTGATGAAATATGTTCGCAAATAAAAGAATTTACTATAGAAATAAAAAACAGAAATTCTGCTTTGAATCTACAAATTGACTCCCAGACCTTATCTGAGCACTCTATAGACCAAAAAACAACAGAAGCAGGAGTAACTAAAGGTAAAGAAGATTCCATCCTATTTCATATGCATGCTGATGAGATCTCCGAGGAACTAAAAAGGATTGCAATTAAACCACTTACAACCTTAAAACCAACAGAAATGGACAGCCAAATTCAACGAATGGAGAACTATGGTAGCTTGGATAAACAACTATCATCTACAAAGTTGGAAACAATTGACCCGGCTATTCAGCAGTTTCATACGTGGAGATTTGACTTTTCAAAACAACAAGGAATTACTTACAAAGGAGCTAGGTCTCTAAAACAGAAAAGAGGACGTCTCTGTTTGATTCAAAGGATACTACAAGGCATAAAGAGTGACTTGTTCATTGATATAGAGGCCTTGTTATGGAAACCGGTTTGGCATAAAAGGAAAGCTAGAATAAGATTTAAGAATGTGACTTAAAGTTTTATGTAATTGATTCAAAAGGCTTATTAGATATCGATTGATTTATGGCTTAAGACAGTTAAATAAGAGGTTAGATTGAATAAAAATTAATTAAAGGTTTGAATTTAATAATAAGTTGTTTTGTCTATGTATTAATATGTTTTGGATACAGTAACCTTAGGAGGACATTAAAGAAATTTGATACAGATATTGAGGGATTGATTGTTAGATTACAAAGAATAATAGAAATAGAAAGGTATTTTTCTCTTTTCTTTTTTGTTGTTGTTTTGTTTGTTTTTTCTTCTTTGTTTTTTTTTCTTCCTTTCTGACTTGAACTAATATTTTCTTTTCTTATTAGAACTGATAGTCATTTTGTAATGGAAGAGGAATAAGAAAAAAGAAGAAATTATATTAATAAATGTTTATTGAATATGTTAAAGAAAAAGGTTATGGGGAGACTCTTGAAGTGTTAATTAGGTATTTAGAATAGAAATATGGAACATAGTAAGTGAAATAGTTAAACTTAACACAGGATCTGGATTTGTGGATTTATTTAGATGAAAGATTATTGAGGATTGTTATGATTGATTTAGTTGTATTGAAATATTTCAATTTGAATATAATATGTCATTAGAGGGAAAAGAGAGGTGGTTTTTAATGACTTAATCTGAACTTTATGAGTATGACTTTGTTTTGTGGACAATTGATTGCCCTGCCACCACGTTGTTTCTTAAGCACTTGTTTGTCAAATGAAAAAAAAAACAATAAAACTTGTTTAAAAAAAAAAAGAAGAGACTGGCTGCCATTTGTCAGAAATGGTGTTGGGACTCCTACAGGGAGTTGAACTAGACCTACAAGGTCCCTCCCAATTCTGTTATTCTGTTATCTGTTATTCTGTTATTATGTTAACAGATCACATCTGAATCCGTTATAATTTGTCTTCCTTGATCACTGCAGAGGGCAACTAAGCAGAAGATAGGCAACTATCCTGCAGCTGGATAGAAAGAAGAGAGAAGAACCTTAGGAGTGGCAGCTTTATTGAACTCTGAGGCAGCAATCTTTTTTAAAAATCAATATTAGGTTTTCATTCCCAGAGATATTCCCATAATGCTAAATTAGATACTGCTTGTCAGCAAAACTGGATTTACTATGAAGCAGGGCCTTGTTGAATAGGTGGGTGGAGTTAGCCAGAAATCCACCCACTGATTGTCCACCCAAGCAGCTTCCATGTTCTAGAATGGAGTTATTCAGAAAATAGTTTTGAGGTGGAGGGTTTGATAAGATGGAGCTGCATATAAATCAAGGAGGGACAAGGTCCTTGCCATTGGTCAGGTAGAATTGCTCCACATATATTGGCTCCCTTTAAGAATGATTAATTATATCTGTCATCCCTTTTTTCAAGAAGTTTTGATTAGTTCGGTCATCCTTGGAGTGACCCTGCTGTGTTGGCTTTAGCAGGTAGAAAGGGATCAGATTAAAGAGTGGACCAATGCTGTTGGCTGAGCTCTGCTCTACTCAGCTTTCCCTTCTCATGCCTTCCTTTCCAGCTGATGATAATCTAGCTGTCACCATAGGGTGCTGAACGATTATGCTCTGAATGTTATCAGCTCAAATAAATTTCTCCAAGATATGGATACAGCCTTGACTTTTTAGAACACGACTCTTGCATTTCTTTTGGAATGAGGGTTTAGCCATACCCGCTTTTATATATATGAGCCACTTTTTGTAGTGAAAGATAATCTACTTACTAATTCCTGTATTTCTGATCTGTTACTGTAAACAAAAATGGTGCCAAAGGGAAAATTATTTTTCTGCCACATAAATGTTGTTTTCTTGCTTTTCTACAGAATATTAACCCAGTTAACTTCAGCTATATCAATGACTATGTCCCCGTTTCCTAAACCTGATATAATGATTGATGTCTTTATAGGGTAGATGAGGACCTACAGAAAGAAAAGGCCTGGCATCCCACCCACTTGCAACTGACCGTCCTGCGTGCCTGCTCCCTGCGCCCTAAGGGAAGCACGGGCACCAGCAACCCTTATGTTGTGATTCAGCTGCAAAAGCAAAAATTTAGGACCTCTGTAGCACTACACAACCTGAGCCCTGAATGGCACGAAGAGTGCACACTACAACTGCCAACTGTGTTGGATGACTCGGAAGAACATGGCCTTATCCTCACTGTCATGCACCAATCTGTTCACCACTTCAACCAATTCTTGGGCAGGGTCAATTTGCCTCTTGCCCAGCTTTTTCAAGACAAAACAAAGAGGAGAAATGAGTGAGCACTATCAGTTCTGTTTCAGTTTAGGAGACATAAGCAGACTTTACCTATCTTAGCCACAGAATGGAACTGGGAGGATACAGCATGGAAGTGATAGCCCTGAATTTTCCTAGCCTTAGAGAAGTGGACAATACCATAGCAGATAGTTTAGGAAGGAATTATATAGCTAGGGATTGCCATATGAATCCTCCATGTACTCTGGCTATATGCAAACAGGTAGCAAAGAAAACCAACTAAAGCAAAAGCAACATTGAACAACTTAGTTTCTTTAAATGCTGCACATGCATTAAGAAGCTAGAGTAATGTGCCTAATTGTGGCAGAGAGTTGAATACGAGTATAGACGGGATAGAAATGGGATAGGCTGATGAAAAATCATATACTGAACTTAAATGGATAAAATATTCAATGAATTGTATCTGATAGAATCAGCAAAGTCAAAACAGGAACTTTGCAAGCATCAGTCCTTATTAAATGTTTGATATCTAAGTACTCCTGTCTCATTCATAATCTTGGAAAATGGGGCAAAATCATTCTTAGCCCTCGGCAGATTATCTACTTATAATAGGATAACATACATAGTAGATCACTAATTAACATCAACATTCCTCGGCAACATACCATCAAAAAAACAATATCCTTACACCCAGATGAAGAAGATGAATTTCTATACAGGGGTGCTGTATACCACCTCTGAAAATTTAGGGATAGAGACCTTCACACAAAATGTTTACCAACTTGTCTCTCTTAAAATGGGAGAAGAGGGAAATTATTATACACAAAATTGAAAAGTAATCGTATCAGCTATATTTAAATTGAACTGATGGGATTTAAGTTTAGTCTTTGTCCTGATCAGATCCATTACCTTTTGACCCATGGTCCTTGGTAAGGAGTTCAATAACTTAAGTAGTGTCCTAGGCTGAAAAAAAGACTACCCCCCTTTTTTTAAACAGGGTGGTTTTAAAATATCAATAAATCGCTTGAAATGGCACTAGCATTGAAGACTACTACAAGTCCTGCACTAAAAGGTAATTGCATTTGTTCTGCAGGTGGTTTGTGTTGCAATCTCGCCCAGGAAAGAAAGAGAAGATCAGAGGACAGCTGCAGCTTGACATCCAGTTCTTACAGATCTCATCGCCAACTAGTGAGCCAGCAGTGAACTCTCCTGGAACTTGGACCTTCTTCACCAGATTTTGTGGAAGCAAGAAGGGCAGGAAGTACAAAGTCTACAAAGAAACTCTATCTCAGTCATCTAGCTTGGTATGTCCAATAAGATGAAATTTCTTTTCTTTTCTTCAAGTGTAAACTGAGAAATGCAGCCTGTTTATGCTAAAAAAATACTGAAGTTCGTTTTACTTGTCTGCTTATTTAGTTATTTAGATCAATTTGCACAGCCCCCAACTGACAAATTGCCAACTCTGGACAGTAACATACAATGAAAAATCAAAACAGCACCATCAAGATTAAAAAAAAAGAGACCCCAGTAAAGGATAATCCACAATTATTCAGCTCAGCACCAGGAGAAAATCCAGGTTTTCAAGTCCAAAAGGATTAGAGCCATCTAAATCTCAGAAGGATCTAGAGGATGCAGCAGAAAAGGAATGTTTCCTGGGTCACCCCAAATGACACTATTTTATAGAGGGTATCTGGGGCATACCTACTCAAGTTGTCATGGGATAGACAAACCCAATTGGAGATGGGTAGTCCCATGAATCACCCAGCCTTATCTCTTGTAGGGCATTAGAGTGGTAACCAACATCTTGAATTGCACCTGAAACCCTACTAGGAATCAGTGCAGCTAGCAAAGCAGTGGTATTACATGGAAATATCATGCAGCATTTGACATCAGTTTCCAGATGATCTTGAAGGGCAGTCCTACGTAAAGTGCATTGCAGTAGTCTAATCTGCTGCCATGGCATTTATTTTCTTCTGAATCCGTATAAAATCTGAGAACACATAGGCATTTTAACATATGACAATTAATTTAATCACCAACACTAACAGGCAAGCCACTAGAATATAAAATGAGAGCAAAGCCCACTCCTTACTTGCACTGATGTTATCTAGTTTGGTAACGAAACATCTGTAAGAAAACAACTAAGCCAGACATGTCAAACACAAGGCCCGGGGACTGGATATGGCCCACGAAGTGGTTTCATGTGGCCCGCGAAGCCATCCTGGAAACAGTGAGGGAATGGCCCCCATTGTCTTGGCCCTGGCCCAGGGCAGCCGGGAGCCAATGTACAATTTTATAGTGGCCATCTTGGCACTTGTCCCAGTGGACCATTCCTTGGCACTTGCCCCGGTCCTACCCCCGTCTGCCAGAGACCCTCAGATCTGTCCCACTCCTGCCCAGGCCCCCCATAAGCACCCTTGATGTGAATGATGTAGAACTGGCCACGGCCACCCAGTAGGCCACACCCACTCCATCCACACTCACCCATTAGGCTGCACCCACTCTGCCCCCCCCACCCGCCCCCCCCAAGGGCAACCACAACGCTGATGCGGCCCTCAGTGAAATTGAGTTTGACACCCCTGAACTAAGCTCAGCGAGTACCAGGGATCCCTCACTAAAGTGAATTTGTTTTTCCCATATTTATAATTGCAGTGCAAAGTCTTCATTAGTCAGGGTTTTACATACATCATTCAAAATAGTTATCTTCCATTTCCATCATTTATAAAAAGATTGGAGGTGGTGTTAGAATTACAGCTAAAAACATATGCTATGGTGCATATGAGCTGTGGTGGCCAGTGGTTAGAATTCAGTATTGCAGGCAAACTCTGTCCATAGCCAGGAGTTCGATCCTGGCCGGCTCAAGGTTGACTCAGACTTCCATCCTTTCGAGGTTAGTAAAATGGGGACCCAAATTGTTGGGGGCAATACGCTGACATTGTAAACCACTTAGAGAGGGCGCTATGTAAAGCAGTATGAAGTGGTATATAAGTCTAAAGTGCTAAGTGCTAAAGCACTGTACAATGTCCTTCAACATGTACAGAGAAAGACCTCTTACTGGCAACAGAAAATGCTCTTGATGTGACCTGATGGGGGGAAAATATCATTTAGTTTGAATCCTATTTATTTTACATACTTTTTCCATGGGCTATATTTCTGTGACCTATTTTATACCTATTTTACTTGCTCAGTGTGGAATGTTAAATGTCTATAATTAGAAGATGCCCGTAACATGAATAAAGAAAGCAAGCAAGCTAAAAACAACAGTGATCTAAATAAATCTAATCTTGGTTTAAAATACTATGCTATAATTGTATTGCCCAAATTCAGTATAACACAGCTCAAGGACTGGATAATCTTTGGTTCTCCAGCTGTTATTGGAATTTAATTCCTATCAGCCTCAACCATTGTAGCTAATCGTCATGTGTAATGGGAGCTGTACTTCAACAGCAGCTGAAGAGCTGTACATTTTCCAGTCTTGGGATAAAGGCCTTTTGAACTGTGTGAATCAGCCAGTAAAATATAACCTACAGGAAACTTAATTCTCCTTCTCCCTCAGTTCCTATTATTAAGCAATTGTATAACTCTATTGAAATGCTAATTGCTTTAATTCTTTTTTAAAAAACCCAATTGCAGTGTCCACATAACATGCTATATACAATAAATTCTGTTATAACTTAATGGGGTGGCTTGGTTCATACAATCTACAGATAATTGCTAGGTTCCCACAATACCCTGAATCACAAGCCAGCTTTTAGCCTATTCTTAGCATAAATCTAATTGTGTACATTACAGCCAATTGGGCATTGGGTAACGATCCTCAAAGTTTAGCTACAATGTTGAGGCTGATAGGAATTAAATTCCAATAACAGCTGGAGAACCAAAGATTATCCAATCCTTGAGCTGTATTATATTGAACTTGGGCAATAAAATGATAGCATAGTATTTTAAACCAAGATTAGTAGATTATTAGCATATCAAAGATTATGCTCAAGGAGCATAAACTCAAATACAGTTATCTTCAAGACAAAATATCTCCGAGGTACCATCTGCTTTTTTTTTCCAGGCTAATAATGAAGATTCGTCTTCTTCAAGCATCAGCACAGAGCTGGAGGCTGCAGCAGAGAAATCTGGAGCCAGTCTTGGCAGTTCTTTGCACATGACAACAGGTGAATAATTAAGGAACATACCAGCTATACAGAGCAATGGAAAGAAGTTAAAAACCCTTTCTTCAATTAATCATTTAATTTTCTCTCTTGCTTTTGGCTAAACCACTGCCTTTTATAGGTAGTCCTTGACTTACAATAATTCATTTAGTGACCACTTGAAGTTACAACAAGTGACTTTATGACCATTTTTCATACGACCATCACAGCATCCCCATGGTCATGCAATCAAAATTTGGACGCTTGGCAACTGGCTCATTTTTATGATGGCTGCAGTGTCCCGGGGTCATGGAATCACCTTTTGTGACCTTTTGACAAGAGATAGTCAATGGGGAATCCAGATTCACTTCACCAGTGTTACTAACTTAACAACCGAAGAGAGTCACTTAACAATTGTGGCAGGAAAGGTGGTAAAATGGGGCAAAATTCGCTTAACAATTGTCTCGCTTAGCAACAGAAATTTTGAGCTCAGTTGTGAGTTGAAGACTATCTGTATAACTTGAAAGCATAAGGCTAATGAAGGCTCTAATAGTTCCCATCCATGGCAAGTGCTAATTCCTTCCTAATTCCTTCAGAGATGCCATTATTCCTCAAAACTGTTAAATAGATTAAAAACACACCCTAGAATAGATGCAGTGGTGGGATTCAAATAAGTGAACAACTGGGTTCTCTGTGTGGATGCCACTTCCGGAAGTTTGTTCTGGGCCTGGGCAACAAAAAATTAACTACCGGTTCTGCCGAAGTGGTGCGAACCAGCTGAATTCCACCACTGCCTAGATAGCATCAGTTGTAAAATCCTACTCATTTCATATTCAGCTAGCAGCAACTACAGCTTATTAACAGTATATTTCATTGCTTTGATAATAAAATGTAAAGAACCAGAGAGGTAAATGATAAGTATATAGCTTGCTCCAACAGATTCACATGGCTGAACATTACGACCTGGAAACTCATGATTAGGGAACTGTTCTCTATAGATTCAGAGTCATTAAAAAAGGTACTCTTTTGTGTTATGGGATAATTCAGATAAAAATAGATACAAAAAATTGGCCCACTTTTTATTACTAGCCAAGCATTCAGCAAACCTAAGGGGAAAACCCCCCGTTTTTTATTAGAAAATGAATGACAAGTTGTTATTCCAAGAAGGTGCATTATAGAAATGTAAGAAAAAGAACAAGTTTTTTAAAATAAATATAACTTCAGTAATGTCCGAGACAACCATATGGGAGACAAGAAAAGCTTTTTAGGAATTCTTATGACATTTGCAACAATTCTGAAGGAAAAAAACAAAATGCTTGGAAAAAAATAAAACTAGAACAAATTTAAGCTCACAGGTATGAAGACAAGTATATAAAGTTAAATAACAATTAGATATTAGGAATGGAAGAATCCCAAAAGATAAAATATGTCCAAAAAAAGCATTTCCAGAATGCAAATAATTGAGGAAAACCTTTAGCATATCAAATTAGAAAACAGAAAAAACAGCAACAAGAAAGAGAGGGAGTAAATTGTTATATGCAAGACCAGAAACCGCAGACAAACTTGCAGGATTACTACAATACTAGCTGAGTACTGCATTTCTGAAATAAAGCCTACAGATCAATCTATATTCTGAAGAGAAAAATGAAGGACAATTTACTAAGAGATTTATAATACAGGTAGTCCTTGACTTACAATACTTCATTTAGTGACCTTTCAAAGTTACAATATCACTGAAAAGTATTTTATGATCGTTTTTCACACTTACAACCATTGCAACATCCCCATGATCATATGATCAAAATTCAGACGCTTGGCAACTGACTCATGTTTATGACGGTTGCAGCGTCCCGGGGTCACGTGATCACGTTTTGTGACCTTCTGACAAGCACAGTCAATGAAGAAGTCAGATTCACTTAACAACCGTGTTACTAATTTAACAGCTGTAATGATTCATTTAACAACTGTGGCAAGAAAGGTCCTAAGATGAAACAAAGTTCACTTAATAAATGTTTCGTTCAGCAACATAAATTTTGAGTTTAGTTGTGATCCTAATTGGGGACTACCTGTAAATGCATTAGAACACCTCAACAGTAAGAAAAAGAAGGTACTACTAGTGTTTTTAGATGCAGAAAAAGCCCTTGACCACTAGGAGTAATCTTTCTTATTAACAGTTTTAAGCAAAATTAATCCAGGACAAGAATTTAAAATTTGGATGGAGAGCATATATCAGAGGCAAATAGCAAAGAATGATATGATATCTTCTCTACATGTTTTTCAGTAAACAAAGGCACCAGAGAAAAATATCCATTTTCTTCCTTATTATTTGTAAATGTTTTAGTAGCTTTGGCAGACAAGATCCAGAAACAAATATTTGGAATCAAGATTCGGGGAAAAGAATTGCAACTTGAAATGTCATACAGATAATCTAATACTAACCATTATGCAATCAGAGTGCTATAGGAACTCTGATGCAAATAATCAAAGTCTTTGGTGAATTATCCAGGCACCAAAATAAAAGATACCAAATAAAAAATATTTTAATTCCAGAAGAAAACTTTTTGAAAAAAATCTGGTAGCGGGATCTTTTTTTAAAAAAAACACAACAACAGTCAAATGTTTGGGACTTTGTTTAACAATATGCAATAAAGACCTATCTCTGAACAATTATGATAAATTATGGAAAAAGTTAAAAAAAAACGAAAGGTGGAAAAAAATCTAAAGCAGTGGTTCTCAACCTTTTTAATGCCGCGACCCCCAACCGGTTGTAAGTCAAGGACTACCCAACCAGTTGTAAGTGGAGGACTACCCAACCAGTCATAAGTCGAGGACTTTCCCTGCCTGGGAGCGCCTCACAGGCATGGTGCCGCTCCCTGCATTGGCCGAGGCATAGCTGGCAAGCGGCAGAGACGGAGCAGGCCGATCACCGGCTGGGCCACCAGCTGGCCCAGCCCAAGGGAGGTTAGGCACCCGCCGGGCCTCACGCGTGCCAGCAACCCTCCCTGCACCTGCCGGCCTCCCACTTCCCACCCCTGGCCCTCTTTTACTTACATTTTTAGTAGTTGCTCAGCAGGGAGGGGTGGAAACTTCCAGACAGCTCGCCTTCGCTGCGGACAACTTGCAGCACCGTTTGCAGAATGGGACTTTTGGCGGGCTCAGCAGGGCAGAGACAGCCTGGACAATTCCTATTGGCTTTTGAAAGCCAATAGAATTAGACTCTATTCAAGAGAGTCTATTCTATTGGCTTTCAAAAGCCAATAGAATAAAAGGGAGTAGCACAGCTAAGGAAAAGGGGAAAAAATGGCGGACTGTGTTGTTTGGCGACCCCCATGAAATGGTTGTTCGACCCCAAATGGGGTCCTGAACCACATGTTGAGAACCGCTGATCTAAAGCATTCTGGCCTAAGACATATTGTGGCAAAAAAATGAACATACTAGACAAGATGAATTTATTTTAAATGGTAACAATTCCAATCTCAGACAAAACCTTATAGGATTGGCAAAGAATTGCATGAGATTTATATGGAGCAGGAAAAAAACCCTGAGACTTAAGATTTTGCAACATTCAGAAAAAATAGGTAACCTCTCAATTTCTAACATTAAAGTATATTTTTATCTAAGCAGTCTATCGTGCATGACAATGGATAAAATTGCCAAACAGCACAATATTAATCATAGGAGCTGTCTTTGCCAATGAACATATACCTATGGTATAAGGAAAGAAAAGAATAAAATAATTCGAAAAAATGTATTATAGACAAAATTTGGTAAAAATATGGAAGAATTAAAAAGTGATGTCAAGAAAGAAGGGAATAGTTTGGGAAAGGAAGCAGAATTTGAAACACTTTATACAAAACCAGTATCATTTATTAGGATACCTATATAAATTATGATTGAATTAGGCCACAGAAATAGAAGAAATAAAAAATGGAATGATACAGTAAATGAAAAATTCAAAGAAATAATCACATAACAATGGGAAGATTTATGGGGAAAAAGCAAATTTATTCCATATTATAATTTAAGGAAAAATTAGTAGAAATAGGTTTTACTGATAATAATGACCAAGATAGGGAAATCATATAACAATAAATGCTGGAGATATCGTAACAAAGAAGGAAATATGTAGTGATTATGCTAAAAAATGTTGTCCATGGGGTCGCGATGGGTTGGACACGACTTCACAATTAACAACAACAACAATGTTAAAAAAGCCCATCAAAATTACTGGAAATAAATAAACCAAAATATTCAGAAAATCCCAAGAATAACATTTGAACTGAAACCACAAATATTTTGGGGGGTACAATCTCAGAGCACCTAAATGAAAAATATTGGAGCTGCCAGAACAAATTTGGCACAAGATCAGACAAGAGAACCTTTGCCATCAAAATCAGATTGAGAGGCCCTAATTGAAGAATATGCACCTATAATAGAATTCTAACCAAATTTAAAGAAGAATGTGTCCCATATATATATGATATATTAACAGGGAAAATTTAGAATATGATTTCTAAAAATATATATTAGAAGACAAAATGTGTACTGGTAATAATCTTCACTGTAAATTATAAATAGGTTACAATCAAGGGTTGGAGAAATAGTGGGAAGGAAAAGGAGAATGTGTTATTAGAAATTTTTTTAATAAGAATAATTTTTTATTTGTGCTTGTTTCTCTTTGTTTTATTCTATTGTCTGTATTTGCTATTTAACATGATTTCTTTTTGCATTTTATTACACTATTTTAACAATAATTTCAAATTTCAAAAATTAAACCAAAGAAAGAAAGAATAATGTAAAACATATGCATAAAGTTTTTTTTTTTTCTCAAAAAGAACAAATCTGGACCAATCAGGAATTCAGTATACATCAATAGCAAATTGATGGATTCTTCTCACTGCTGCTGTTTTGGCCCTTTGAATGCATGATACAGATTGACTGCACTCTATATTTTCCATCAAATCTGGAAGATCCTAATAATGAATAAAATGGCATGGGCAAAAAATAAGAATTTGAGATAAGAGGTGTATACAAAATCTTATAGGACAAGCAAAGACAGGGACATACTGAATCCCATTTCTTAGCATCTAATAATTTTTTGTTATGGGCAAATACAATGTTCTTAAATTAAAGATCCCAGTTTCTGTAATGAGTAGAAAATGTAAAAAAGTGGCTCTGGGAGTCTTTTATCCCTACATATCTGCAATGTAACATGGCAACACAGTGCTTGTGAATGCCAACAAATCTGCTAGGCCATTAAAATTATTTGACTTCTGTTTATGTATTTTTTTTAAAAAAAATAAGCCAAATCTCATAACACTTGCACATACTTTCATGAGATCTCATGAGGTTTTAGACATTTTGTTAACATTTTATATACACACATATTCTCACTATTACGGAGAACCCCAAAGTGGTTCCTACTGCCTGAAATGATTCTTAACTCATGATACAGCATCTATGAAATATTCCTCAGTCATAAGCTATTTTTTTTCAAAGATGAACACTCTTGGGGAAGGGGGGGACTTAAGATATTGCAATTCTGTAATCCTTTTGGTTCTACCTTATCCTCTCTACAGCAACCTGTGTTGGAAAGAAATCTATATCCAAACCCCAACTGCAGAAGCTCGTTTCCTGTAACTACAAAGAACTTCCCTCTGAAGTTACAAACACAACACAGTCCGAGCATCCAAGTACCTTGGAACAGTTCAATAGCATCTTTAGTCAACAGCCCAAGAAAAAATCAAAACCCCTGAAAGAGGATAGAAGTCCAGAGGCAGCAGGCATCTCTATGGAACCCTGGCAAGCATCTCTTCCACCCCTTCATACTGTAGGGCACAGTGATATTCCCCCAAGGGCTCATACCCTCCATTTCTCTATAGTGAGTCTTCAACAGATCACTAATATTGCACCAGCCAGCTCTATTACCAGCCGTTTCCATAGATGCCGAATGCAGCTGCATAGGAGTTACCAGTTCTGTCGCAGGTGTCTTGGAGTGGGGTCTTGATCATACGTTAACTTTGTTTCTACATTTCTCAATGGAAAAAAAATACTACTGTATCCAGAAATATACAAATGAATCATATTCAGATAATCTACATGTATGTTCTGGTGCCTAGTTCTTTCACGTTGAGGAGCGTTGGGGAAAAAAATTAAAACATCGTAAAAAAAAGGTGGGTTTAAGTCAGAATTCTGTTACTAAAAAAAAAAATAGAAAATTTGATATTATTAGAAGTAGTATAAAAAAACCCTGTTCACGCACATTTCACTTATAGTATTCTTTCAATCCATTTGTTTTAATAGCTGTATTTCAGTACTGTAAGTCAACAGCTTTTACAGTTCAAAAGATCTGAAAATGGAATTAGCCAAGATGATCAGCCAAGAGTTCGTGGAGTCAGAAAGCAAGGTATGCACTATCAAGAGGCATCAGAGGAAAAATGCGGTATAAGGATATTTTGGAGCAGATATTTATGCATATAATTATCACAAGAGAAGCAAACGTCTAACACTCCTTTGAGTTTTAGTCTGGATAGAGAAATCTTCAAGTCCTGGCTAGCAGAGAAACAATAATTTAATCCCTATAGTGTCTCTGAGTTCACAGTTTCTTCAGCTTGTCGAGATGAAGATACCTAAGACAATATCCTTCTAGCTGATAGAAAGGCACTTGGCTTATTTAATGTTTCCATCACCACTGCATTTGTTGCCACCTCGCAGTATCCATGTAGAAGAGGTAATGCCCTGCATTTGCGTCATCAACTAGTGTAGATCCTCAGTTCTCTTTTTAACCATGTTACCCTGGCAGTTAAGACTGGTTGTCGGTTCCTACAGAAGGATTTGCCATCCGAGAGCTGAGCTGCAAATTCTGGCCATGAGCTGGTGGAGCAGCAAACAAGACAGCCAATCTGTACAGAAGGCACATCAACCAGATGCACACCAGGGAGTCTCACTGGAGTCACACTCTAGCAAGATATTAAGAACTGTGCAGGGAGCTCCTGCCACACTCAATGAAGTGCGTGATTCTACTCTGTATTTTAGGTTAGTCAGTCCTCCAGTCCGGTCTACCTTGAACTGCTCCTGTGAAAACAAAAATGGCATGTGTTATACAAAAAAGACAACAATATATGAAAAAAAAATACCAATAAGGTATCATTCAACCATGTACATTTTGACCAACATTTAAAATATTCGTAACAAGAGCTTGACACTAAAAATACAAAATTACATGGCATCGGAAGCTCCAAGGCTACAAATCGTGCAACCCCTCTATAAATCAGCTTGTGTTATAAACACTGTATGCTTATTAAGTTTAACAATTTTGCATGCATTTCTTTTAAGAACCAAAAAGGTGAAAATTGCATCAATTTAGGAAGGTCCGATTCTTAAATACTAGAATCCCATGTTAGAGGTCATTTTAGCAAAAGTCATCGTTGCTGCTTTATGAACTGTCTCTGTTCATTGTTTTTCAGTCAAATCACAAACTTGCAAATTTCCAGATTGTGTGGTTAAAAATAATATGTATATTTCTTTACCAAAATAGAGATAGGAAAGGGGAATGAGGAGGTGTTCTTTACCTTCATGGAAAATCTGTTTGCACTAATTCTGAGTATTTTCTTTTTAACTATGACATACACTTTTGGACATTTTGTCTAGTGATTTAGTCTTAAAATACATAGCAGCACCTGCCTTTTACCCCAACATTTAACATTTAAGTATTCAATACACACAGATATAAATATGTGGAGGGATGGTCTTTATCCATGCATATATAGATACATATTCTTTCTGTTAGAAAGAAGACCAGCTTTAATATATAAAAATGGAGGCGAAGCAGCAGCAATGGCTTGCAAAGGCTACTAAATATATAAAAACATTTAACGAATGTTCCCCATAAATATTTTTCTGTAACAACACAGTTTATTTGAGAACATTTGTCTCAGTCCTTAGCTAAAAGCATCTTGAATTTTCCATTAACTATTCACTTAGAAAAAGAAATATTGCTAGATTTATATCATATGCATGGTTTGTTTTAACCATAAAGCATGAATTCAAATATTTTAAAGATGGAATTATCTTATTAATGGAACCCTCGAGAAAATATTGGAGAGAAACAGATTTCAGATGAAAGTTCATAATGGGAGGTGATATTCATTGTAAATGACACTTACAATTCCATTATAAATAGAATTTGTGCATATATTCCATTCTATGTGTTAAGAGTTACTATTGCCAGAGTATTGAAAGAAAGACATCAGAATCTTTATTTCATGACATCCTGACTCAATTTTTATGTTTCTAGAATAGCCTCCTCCTCCTCCTACCCCCAGTTACTACAGTAATAGGCGTGAACCCTATAGTATTGGCTGGTGACTGGGCAATGTGTGGCCCTCTGCAACTTTTCATCTTACTGCTAGTCATGTTTGTGACAGCAATTGGAAGTTAAATGTTGAATCACATTTGAAGATGCAGATTTGCCTACTTTTTGTAGATGACAGGTAACTAATCAAGAGGAAGCAAGAATTTCTTAGCTTACATCTAAAGACAACCCTTTTCAAGATTCGCTTTTCATCCTCCTCCCCAATGAGAAACTCCACCTGTTTCTGGGAAGCAATACGCTTCTGATCCCTTTTGCGCCAAGCTGGATCATGCAGATGTTGGAATGTCTTATATCCACTTGTAATACCTGAGGGTCGGAAGAGCTGAAATGAAGAATAGTGGAGCCAACGTGATTCTTTGGGAATTGGGGTAAGACGTTTACAGCAGTCCCAGATCACACTGAGCACCTGAACCCCAAAGTCCCAATTCCCACTACAAATATGATTCATCCTCACTTGAAGTCCAGCTGCTCTGAAGCGGCGATAAAATTCATCATCTTCCCTGCCCCAGCCCCAGAAACGGTTGGACATTCCATTGCACTGAAATAATAATAAGGTTGTTAATCCCAGTTTGTTTTCCTCTTAATAAGATTTGAGACTTGAAAGATTAGAAAACGCAGACCTATTCTCTCAATCTTACATTTCTAGGATTGTGGGCCTTTTTTTTCTACATATGCCTAGCAAGTTGCCAGACCAAAAAAAAAAAGGAAGCCTGTATTTCTTTAGCAAGAGCACAACCAGCAGGGTCTTCTGCCTTTTGCAAAAAGTAAAGGAGTTGCTTCCGTAAGAAAGAAGTCGTGACTTACCATTCGATAGTGTTGCTTGGTGAGTAGCAAGATGCCCCCCACATAGGTGCTATAATGATAGAGTGGGTGCAGCTCAGGTGAAGCCACGTGGAAAGGACCAGCTGCTGGGAAGCTGTAATCCAATTCCTCATTGAGAGGTAACAAATCCACGTCATGCATGGCAATGTAGTCTGTGTCATTGCTACTTTCCAGGAAACCCACATTGATCAGAGATGCTCGGTTAAACCTGCCCAGGAGATCAATGTGAGAAAAGTGGATCTAAGTCACAAAATTCTACCCAGGCAGGTTGAATTACTTCTTTGCTGGAATTGTTCAAATCTATATACAGTAGTATAGCATATAGCAGGGCTTTTCAACCTTTTCACCCATTGTACCACTTTTAGGATATGGCAACATCCAAGTACCACCAGTCGCTTAGCAAGGTGTCAAAAACTTGATGACCCCCCCAAAAAAGAAAAAAAGTGATAAAGTACAGGTAGTTCTCAACTTACAACAGTTCGCTTAGTGACTGTTCGAAGTTACAATGGCACTGAAAAAAGTGCCCCCCAAGATTGGTAGCGGGGGTGGGATGGGGGTGTTTGGTTTTTATTCCTCCCCATCTGCTGGGTGATTGAAGCTGGTTTTGGTCACTTCACATGACCCTGGGACACTGTGACCGTCATAAATATGAATCAGTTGCCAAGCATCTGAATGTAAATCACAAGACCCTGGAGATGTTGCAACATTCCAGTTGATCGGTGCTTCTTCTGAGCTCAGAAGCGCCAGGATCAGCACCGAGCTCCAGCTGGAGCCTGGCGCTAATCCTGGTGCTTCCACTGAGCCCTGACAGCCCAGAAGCGCTGATCCTGGAACTTCCGCTGAGTCCTGACAGCCCTGCAGCTCCAGCTATCTCTCACTCAGGCTTGTGCGGTGCTGCCACCAGTTCAGCTCATTCCCCTCCCCCGCTACTTTTCTAGGATGGTTGTGTACCACCTGGCTGAGAATATTTTTTTGTTTTCTGACATATAACTAAGCACATTGATGTGTAGTTAATTCCTTATACTGTTATAGTTTCAGAAAAAATGTAAGACTTTTAACATGAGTACCAGAACCAATTTCAGACATAAACTAGACTCCGATCTGAAAGCTTCCACTGGAGTAATAAAAATCATGATTGCAAAAAAAGCCCCCCCCAATACCAACCCATTTCTATGGCAAACTGTCTCAAGTGACTCATTCTTAAGAGCATATAACTGAAGAAATATAAGTCCAGATCATGGTTGTCCCAAAGGTGCTTTTTTTCACAAGGCAACTGGACTTTGTTTTTCTTTGAAGACGTTTCGCTTCTCACCTAAGAAGCTTCTCCATCTCTGACTGGATGGTGGGAATGGCAGGATTTATATTCCTTGCAGACAGCTGGTCATTTGCATTCTTTTTTTTTTTTTTTTGCATTCCTGAATGCAAATGACCAGCTGTCAGCAAGGAGTATAAATCCTGCCATTCCCCACCATCCAGTCAAAGCTGAAGAAGCTTCTTGGATGAGAAGTGAAATGTTTTCAAAGAAAAACAAGAAAGTCCAGTTGCCTCATGAAAAAAGCACCTTTGGTAAAACTGAAGAAATAGTTTGAAATAAAAGATCAGCTGCTATTTTATACTGGGAATATTTGACAACATCCAATAATTATTAGGAGACAGAAAGATTAGGAATTCTGGTTTGATCTTCTACTTACCCAGTTCTCTTGGTTAAGAAACACAAATATTTTCTTTCCAGTACAACAAATGATCAGTTTTTAATTTTTACATTTCAGTGTTAGGCCCAAACCATTTTGAAAAGGGAATGTATGAAATTCAAAATACAAGTAAGTTACAGAGACAGTTCCTCTC